GAAAACCTGGCACTAAGGTGACAGGAGGAATGGGGAAGCTTTGGGAGCTCACACCAAACCAACAGGGCTGCATGGTGCCAGTGTCATGTGAGGTTTAAAGGACAGAAGAGGGAGGCAGTCCATGGGGTGACAACAGCATGGGGAGGGCAGCAGGTCTGTCTTTGGTTACAAAAGCAAGTAGGCACTAAAGAAACAGAGCAGAGCTGCGTGGTGAGGAGGGGAATTGCTCCCAGGGAGCTTCCTCATGCTCCTCCTTTCCCTCTTTGGATGTGTGCTGCTTGCCAAAGCTTAATGCCTCGGCACAGACCCGTGTTTCTAAATGGCCATTACTACAAGATGAGATCTGCTGGAAAATCACCGCTACTCATAAATATGTTCCCTGCTTACTTAGTGATATTTTGGTCCCAGAGACAATTTGCGTTTTGGGAAACTGCCAGCCTCTCTTGCTTGTCTAATAATTCCTCTGTGAAGCATTTAGCAGTGGTTTGATCCCCTCTTCCTCACAATGGAGCAGTTTGAGTTTATAGTTCAGCAAATGCAAACTACCCCAAAACACTCCAACTTATTTTTTATCGAGTTTCTATCTACCATCAATGAGTTGTCCTGCTGATCTCATCACCAAACCCATGTGAGACTAGTCAGTCCTGTGTGATTTCTGCATACAAAAGCCCTCTATAAATCAGAAAGCATTTTATGCAAGTCTGTAAGATTGATAGGACCGGGTACAAAAAAGATGTATTATCAATCCCATCAGACATCATGTTTTGTTTGCATATTCACCTCCAAAGTATGGTGGGGCTTTTTGTAGAGAAGATGGGAGCCATGATAGCTGTCTTAAATACAAACAGATTGCTATCAGAAGAAAGGGAGTAATTTTTCTTTTTTTTTTTTTTCTTTTTTTGCTCTGTCTAATGGGGATAAGATGAGAAGCAAAGGATTTAAAAGACAAAAAGGGAGATTAAGGCTAGTCATTAAGGATTTTTGTACCTGTAAGCTCTGGGAGAGATTGCCTAGGTAGCCAGAAAATCCCCATCACTGATGATTCTTGAGGAATGGGGCAAACTGGTGGCATCACAAGACCTTTTCCTGCTTTCCCTGACAGATTAACACTCCACACTCCTGCAGAGCTCGGGTTCCAATCCAAACATTGCTTTGCAAGGGATGAGAAAGTCCCTTGCAATGGATGGATGGCAGGAACATTCCATGCAGAAAAAGCAAAAGTGCAAGGTTTGAGTCAAAATGCTGCTACAAAGAACAAGGTAAAAATGAGGAGAAGTTATTAGGAAATACCCTTTGGCCAAAAATGTTCTCTCCTTTACAGCTCCTTGCCACAAATAAATTATTATTTTATATTGTTTTATATTGTTATATAAAATGCAGAGAAATATTTGAAGGTTGTTGGGTTGTTTTTTATTATATTTTGTTTTGTTGTTGTTTGTTTGTTTTTCAGGTCAAATGGCAACAAAGACAGAATATTAGGGAAAAAAAAAAAAAAGAAGTCATGCTGAAAAAATAATTTAAAAAATAGTGAAGAACAGAGGTTAGAAGATCTCAGAGTAACACATCTTGACAGAAAAAAATGTTTCTTACTAAAAAAGTAGAGTGAATAAGAGATAGAAACGTATTTAATGATGAAAGTGGTCAGATTTTTCTTTATCAGCTGACCAAGAGGCTGACAAAAACTTCCTGTTCAACGAAAAGAGCATTCAAATGTCTGCAGAGCAGGAACACCTTTAGCGTCTGCGGAAATAATGAGGTACAAGAAAGACAGGGCGGGACGTTATTTCAGAAAGTTGGTACTTGAGAGATATGATTTACCACTCAGCTTCACGATTTACTGCACAGATTGCTCAGACACAACCATTAATCTATATCTGAAGAAACTACTAATATTTCAAGTCACTAAGCACCTTCCAAATAATCTTTACGTACCTGTATGTTTAGTTCAATGCTAAGAAACAGCGGTATGTATACTTAACAGAATTTATACAGGCGTTATTATGTCTTAGTTATAGCTATATCGACAGGCTACAGAAAATAGTCTCAAGATTCAGAAGGAAATTCACGTGGAGAACGGAGGGCAGCGCGCCCGCCTTCAGCACCACGGACAGCGCCGGCGAACCCCGGGCCCGCGTCCCTCTTGCCGCTGTCCGTGGTGCTGACGGGGAGCTGCGGGCGCTGCGCACACGGGGACACAGACGGGGACACGGAGGCATGCGCGGGGACACTCAGGGGGACACGGGGACACGCCTCACCGCGTGGATCCCAGTCGGCTGCTACAGGTTCGAGAACCGCCTGGCCACCATGCAACCAGGGGAACGTGAGCACGGCAAGGCCAGCCAATTAATCACCGATGGTGTTTCGGTACAAAACTGTGCAATCATCAATAACGTGATTCAGCAAGTAGATGTAAACAAGTGGGGAAAGCACTCTGCTGATCGGGACAGCACCACGATGAGCAGAGTTCAGTGAGAACTGGCCAACAGGGGCTTCTTACCCAGCATTCAGAGCCTGCATGAGCCTGGTAACATGCAGAAGGATATGGCATGAGAGTTATTTTAATCGCATTCTTCCTGTATTTACCTACCACGGATTTGGTGATAATATGCCACAGTTGAGCACTTTGTAGGCAACGCAAGCATGAGGACGTGGCTCCGCATCCAATTAACCTGAACCACAGTTGAACTCTGCCCTTCGAACCCCCTGTGCTGATAAATGCATTGACTCACCTGGTGATCATTGATATTTTTTATCCTGGCAGAAATGCAGAGACTGCCCTACCCAGGCCAGAGCAAACAAAGATTTCACAGGGACGTTTCCGTGTGGCAGGCACTTCAGAGAGAAGGCTGGGGACCAAGGGGCCTCCGTGGGGCCACAGGCACACTGTGGGGCTGTGAGGGAAGTGGGACACATCGTTCCCATGCCCTCTTCTCCTCAAACTTCCCAACCTTGGTTCTCACCCAGATCATGGGTGGAAGCCGCCAGCTACCTTGGCTGCAGTACCATGTAACCAAGCATACAGCAGGCATGAGGGTGAACCTACAGAGGGGCTTTCATGATGCGGCTTCTGTGTAGGGGTGGGATCAGATCAATGGAACTTACATGAAAGGTTTCACCATCTCTGTATGGGACAGGAGAGGCTTCTCCTTTTTTTCCGGCAGCCCTGGTGGCAGCAGCCCTGGGCCAGGTGCATGTTGGGGCAAGGACGGGGAGTGAAGTCACAGCCGCAGCAGAGGGATTTGCCCAAATTCAGGGCAGTCCCCAGAAATGCTCTCCCTGTTTCACCTCCCGGGACTCAGTAAAGGCACATGGTGCTTCCTGGGTTGCAGAGCAGGGTCTTGGTGCCAACGTCCCCTCAAGAAAACCACACAGCTCTGCTCTGACTCGGACACAGCTGCTGCTGACCCCTTCTCCAGGCTTTTGGAGCCCTTTAAAAAATAATCATAGCCCTGGTCCAGCTCCCCTGGGAGAGGGGCTTCCTCTCATAGGATGGAACATTTGGGTTCATTTTGAGAAAAACTTACGGGAAGAGCGCAGGGTGGGTGGGTTGCCGACTCTACCTCCGCTCCTGTTCTCAGGAGCTTCAGAAAGCAAGGGAAGGGAAAGGAAACACCGAGATAATGAGGCTGCATATTCACACGTGGTAATAAAAAATCGATTTCCCGAAGAGGCCGGTAATTTACAAAGGTCTTTCCCGTTCTTCCTCCTCTCCTATCCGAGGCCGTGACGGCTCCCGCTGTCCGGGCAGCCGCTGTTCCCGCTGACTGCCCGCGCCTCGGCCGCACGGAGCGGGAGCCGGGAGCGGCTCGGTGTTAGGAGTACCTAGGAGCAGAGCAAGCAGCTTTTTTCAGCGCCTGCGTTTCAAAGCAAACCAGAGCAATTGGAAACGCAGTCTGACGGTACAGGAGTCCCGGCGTTGATAACGGAACCAGAACCAAAACGGGCACGGCCGCATCTGGATGACACAGCTCGAAGCAAAAACGGGTTCAGGGGTATTTTACCGCCTTTCTTAAACCTACGTAGGCTCAAAACCCGAGCCCCAGCCCTAAGGAGCGCAGAGGCGGCGGTGCGGGGTAACCTCGTAGCCCGATAGGAGCCAGGCAATGCCCGCCGGCTTCCGCCGCTCCCCGAGCACAACGGCTCTTGGTGCTCGGCGTTACCCCTCCGGGTCGGGCCCGGGGCAGCCCCAGAACGGCGGGACGGGGTAGACGGGGTCGAAGGCAAGCAGGGTGCTGGGAAAGTCGAGCTGCAGCAATGTTCTTGGAAACAAGCCGGCTCAGGTTCCAGATCAATGAACGCTGGGTCCACGCGTTTATGTTGCTAGCGTGAATGCTCTTTTAATCTTCTAAACATCATCTGCATCGATTTCCCTCCACGTACGCGTTTGTTTGGGAAGGCGACGCGGCCGCGTGCTCCGGGCCCCGCGCCGAAGGGTTCACCCTGTGTTGCGGCGGGGGGCGGCCGAGGCCCTGCGGAAGGGCGGCGGGGGGCGGCCCGGGGCCTCGCAGTGCGGATTCGGGGCTCGGGGAAGTCCGGAGCCGCGCGTCGCAATTACCCGCCGCTCACGAACGGGCGAAGATTCGTCGCCCCGCATCGGGACCGAAAGAAATGAAAGAGCGGCGGAGTTATGGCAACAAACAGCTCCGCAGCCTCCCCGGAGCCTCCCCGCAGCCTCCCCGCAGCTGCCCCGGCTCCGCAGAACAATGGAGCGCTGCGGCGCGGGCAGCCCGCGCCAGGGGGCGCCCGGCCGCGGGACAATGCGGGGCGAGCGCGGAACAATGCGGAGCTTCCGCGCCCGGCTGCGGGACAATACGGGAACGGCAGCCTCCGGAGCCGCCGGCCGGTCTCCCGGCCCGGGGACACGGCCCGAACCGAGAGACGACATCGGGAACGCCCAGCGGGGGAGGTGAGGGAGGGAGGGAGCGGGGCTGCCCCACGTACGCTCCGAGGAAGCGCCCCGAGCCAGGGCAGCGCCGCGGGGTCCGGGGAGCGGAGCCTACCTGCGAGCCTTAAGGCTGACATCCTCTGGAACTCCGGCTCCTGCAGCCACTTCCACATCCTCCGGAAGGTCTCCCTGCCGGATTTCAGTTTACTCCAAGGCTTAGGGTTCCGTAGCAAGTCCGAGAGGGTGCCCTGAGAGCGGCACAGCACCCGCTGGGCGAAGATGGCCTGGGGGATGCTGTAGCGCTTCAGCTCTGCCGTGATCCTCTGGGCCACCTCCTTCGTGTTGATTTCCTCCAGCTGCTGCGCGGGGGCGGCGGCGGGCGGGCGGTCGCGGGCAGTGGGCAGCGCGTGGGGCGGCGGGGCAGGGGGGTGCTGCCCATTGAGGTGCGGCAGCGGGGCCGGGGCCGCCGGCAGCCCTCGCGGCAGGTGCGGCACGGCCTCGAAGCCTGCCCCCAGCATCTTGTCGTGGCCCGGGGGCGGCGGCGGCCCGTAGCCGTGCAGGCCCTGCTGAGCGCCATGCAGGGGGGCCAGCCCCGCGCCCAGCGGGGACAGGCTCTGCCCCACGGCCGGCACCTCCTTGTACGGCCCGTAGAGGTTGTTGACGGCGGGCAGCCCGCGCTCGTCCCGCATCAGCGCAAAGCCGCCGCCGACGTTGCCTGCCAGGCGCTGGTGGTGGTGGTGGTGGTGGTGGTGCGGGTGAGGGTGCGGGTGGTGGAACTTGTCGGACACGGCGGAGATGGGCGGCAGCGGCTGCAGCGGCGTCAGCGTGGTGTAGGTGCCGCTCATGCCCATGCCGGGCGGCGAGGGCTCGCAGGGCACGCTCATAGCGTGGTGTAGCGGCACCGACAGCTCGGGCCGGAACTCGGCGCCGTCCAGCAGCGGGGCCATGCCCGGCACCATGGCCGCCCGCCCCCCTCCGCCGCCTCCGCCGCCGCCGCCGGGCAGCTCCTGGGGCGGCGGCACCCGCAGCGTTCCCCCGCCTCGGCCGCCGTGGTGCGGGCCGGGGCTGCCCAGCAGCTCGGGCTCATGCAGGCTGCCCAGCGGTTCCAGCGCCAGCTCGGGGTTCATGGCGCAGGCAGCGGGCTCGGCGGCGAGGCATCGGTAGGCGCCGCGGCCGCTCCTCATTCGGGCCGCTGCTCATCCGGGCGGCGCGCCGCCTCCGCCGGCCCCGCGCTGCGAGCCGCGGCCGCCGGGCCCCGGGCAGCGGCCGTTCAGCCGGGCCCGCGCCGGCCCCGCGC